GTGCCTATGCAGGATCAGGAAGTCACAAAAATCCCAAGCTGCTATGTTGGTACAGGCCTTTGCTGCTGTGGAAGCAGGACAGTCCCCTCAAGCATGGTTATCCATGCTGATAGACAAATAGATGTCTGTCTCGCCCTTGCTGAGTGAGTGATGCATATCTGAATCAGTCATGCTCAATGACGGGCACCTACCCTCATGCTAAGAGAATAAGCATACATGTGTTCCCTTCAACCTAAGACATGAGCCTGTGAGGGCGACACAGTGACTCTTTGACGGGTAAGATAGGGACACTGGGGTTGAACCTAAGACAGAGATGACTGAAATCTGACAACAGATAGATGCTGCTACTACTATAACATTAAAACAAAAAGGGGGAACTGTAGGGAGCGTACGGCGTCCACCCTTGACCAGCAAGAAAGATGCCACACCGAGGAATCTTCTTCAAACACAGTTTAATCGGGAACCTCTTTGCTTTGTACAATGTATAATGGCGGCGGCGGCGGCCCCGGGCCGAGGGAGACAGGGCCTGATATAGTCTACATCTACCAATCACCTAACCCTACGTGGCGCGCCAGGATAGGTTGTCTCCAAGCAGAATTAAGAGGATACATGACCTTTGCCTAATTTGGAGTTGTTTACCACAGAGAGCGCTCGCCATCGGGCTGGCGGAGGGCGGAAACCGGCGCCATCTTTTGGGTGCGGTTTTCTGCAGCTCCCTACAATAACGGATTTATTTGGTTTACTTATCCAGAGCCACAGTCCATTGAGGGACGCCAAGGCAGGAATTCAAACTGAGCAGGAACCTGGAGGCAGGAGCTGATACAGAGGCCATGGAGGGATGCTTCTTACTGACTTGCTCCTCATAGCTTGCTTAACCTACTTTCTTTTTTAAAAAAAATAAAATAACAAATCTTTAAAAAATAAAGAGCCTCGGGACTGAAGTGGGCAATGTTGTTTTCAGAAAATGAATTAGTTTGAAGATATTCAAATGATGCAACTGAGAGAAAGAAAAGGCTTTCCCTTTAAATTCAGATGGACAATTAAGAATCCTTCCAACCCAATCACAAAAAGACAAACATGATATGCACTCACTTATATGTGGATTTTAGACCTAGAGTAAGGGATTACCATCCTACAATCCACACTGCCAGAGAAACTAGTAAACAGGAAAACCCTAAAAGAGACAAACTTTGTCCCCTGGAGAAGGGGAAAGAGTCACCATCCTCTGAGCAAGTTGAGAACATGGGAAGAGGGGGGAGGGAGCTACAAGAATGAGAAGGGAAGAGGAGGAAGGATGCAGAGGTCATGAGGGGGCAGAAAGGTTGAGTCAGGTGTAGATTAGAAGAAAGGACATATGATAGGTAGGGTTTTAGTTGGGGGGGTGGTAGGGGAGGAAGGGAGGGAGAAGGGCACTAGGATTGTCATATAATTCAATCTTGCTTGTAATTCATATATATATATATATATACATATATATATATAATAAAAATAATAAAAAAGAAAAAAAGAATCCATTCCCATAATTCATGTTGAACAAAGTGCCAGAGTGAAACCTCATATAAGAAAAAAAAAAAAAGAATCCTTCCAATTCCATGTAAGCATGAAATCCAGATCTGAGATGTCACAGGCTCATGTTTTTTAATGAATTCAGCAGCTGATGAAGATTCACACCCTTGGAAGCAAGCCACAATACGGCTGTCCTATGTAGAGCTTGTTAACTCAGCACTCGATCCATCCACCTGTGCTCATTCCCTAATACTCAGGATTTGTGTTCCTCAGGGCTTCTTCAGCGTTGAACTAACTCTTTGTTGGTTGAAGGTGGTGGGACTGTTTCTCCACACATAAACTGATCTTTGTCATAATCACTTTTATAATGAGAGAGCAGCTAGGACACGTTGCCACATCTTCTCCATTCTCCAAATCTTCTTGGTGATGGAGAAGTTATCCCCACAGAGGCAAGGGTGGAAATATGTCTCAGAGTCCTCGTCATATTGAAAGTCCTCGATCTCCACCTCATTGTAAAACACCACCTTGGTCATCGGGTCGACACCCCATCAGTTTATTAACCTACCTTCTTATAGAACTCAAGACCACCAACCCAAGGGTGGCACCACTCATAATGGGCTGGGCCCTCCCCCATGAATCATTAAGAAAATGCCCTATAGGCTTGCCTATAACTTGATTTTTATGGAGACATTTCCTCAGTTGAGGATCTTTTCTCTCTGCTTGCTCTTCCCTCCTCCAAAAGAGAATGTTTCAGTACATAGGAAAGAGCCACACAGCACCTAAGACACACTTCAACTTTTTGACCAGGGAAATCGCTCATCATCTGTTTCTTAAGCCTGGCTCTGGACTTGGAATGGGTTGGGAATTGCTAGCATGGTGATTTTTCTCCTTCAATTCCTTTAGGAGAGGGAGTGAAGTCTAGTAATCCACTTCATTTCCCAGTAAGGTGTGTTGTCCTCTTGTCACTTTGTCCTCCACCCCTAGGGCAGAAGAAACCACTCAGAAGTGATCACTCTTTTGCTATCCCTGCAGGAGCATGCAAGTATTCCCTGAGAGCCATTTAATGATGGTACTACTGGAACAACACCCAGGGAAGCCACTCTAGTCTTTCTAGGGAGGCTAAAGACTGACTTCAGGAACAGAAAATGGGCAGCTTGGTCCCACTTAAGTACTGGGAACACATAGCTTCTCCCTAGGCAGACAGGAGTGAGGAGAGGAGTCTTGAGCTCCAAAGCAGGCACGGGGCTCAGCTGATGAAGAGCTGCTCCTCAGGTAGTCCTCACAGAGGCAAACCCTGTGCCGGTTAATCAGAAGTGCCCACTCAATGCTCAGACACCCTCCTCACAGAGTGGGCGCAGCATTTATCGGGGATGCTGTGTGGAGATCCTAACCTTTTCCTGATGGTCTGCAGAGAGCCCCACCTCCCTTCACACTCAGTGTGCCAGCCAAAAGGACAAAGCACCATCCTTCAGCATGGGATGCCACTCAGGATGTGGTTTGACTCAGAACGGACTCACAAATGAATCTGTCCTTCCAGTTCTCAAAATCAATATTTACTATCCAGGCAGCTTGGGGACCACAGCAAGGGAGACCCCTTCCCCACCTGTCAGAGGAGATTAATTTTATAGCCATCAAATCAAAGAGAAAAAATGACTAGCAGGCTAGCATATGGGAAAAACAGGAATGTGGTTGCTGCGGGACATACAGAGGCAGACCTCAAAGTGCCAGCTTACATCCTTGACCGTGCCCTGGGTTCCCTCAGTGTCAGCGCAGCTGATGAACCTGCCTCTTGCCCTCAGGAGACTTCCAAAGGGAAGAACTCTTGGGACAACGCAGGCATAAGTTCAAGTGCCTGTTAACTGGGTGGCTTTGGACACTTTGTTACATCCCCACAGACTGTTTGCATTTCTGTCAAGTGAGGAGGAAAATCCACGTGATCAAGTTGACATAAGTATCATGTCACAATGCCTGTAAAACCATTAGCACATCCTGGCCCTTGGTGAGAAGTACTCAATTAAGTAGAGCTAAGAATGTTATTAGGTACACGGCTATGTTCAGCTCCAGACAGGAACCTATTTTCAAACTGTGTGGCCTATTGCATTAGGGTACAGGGCATAAATAGAAGATTTAAGGAGTGTGTGTGTGTGTGTGTGTGTGTGTGTGTGTGTGTGTGTGTGTGTGTGTGTGTGTGTCTGTCTGTCTGTCTGTCTGTCTGTATGTATGTAGGTATGTATGTGGGGGAGGGGGGCCAAGGGCAACCTCAGGTACGCCCTTCCTCGGGATGCTGTCTCTCATCAAGTAGGCTAGGCTGGCTAGCCATTGAGCCTCAAGGATCTGCCTGTCTCCACCTCCTTAGTGGATTAAAGTGTGCACCTTTATGCCCATCAATTATTCTCATGGTTTTGGGAACTGGACTCATGTCCTCATGCCTATGGGCAAGCACTTTATTGATTGCACCACCTCTCCAGCTTCTCCACTGGTTTTTGGTTTGAGTTTTTTGTTTGTTTGTCTGTCTATCTGTCTGTTGTTTGTTTTTATAGCTCTTTGTCTCATCTGTGATCCAGATTCCTTAATAAAAGTGTCTAGGAATCTCAGAAAAGTATTGGTATGGACCCTCGAGCTTCTCTAAGAATTGTTCTGAAGGTGGGAGCACCCCCAGCTATCTCCTCCTTTTCAGTGCCCCATCCAGCTGCACTCTGCCCCTCTGCTCTTCATACCTGGCTCCTTTCAGTGGCTGTGTCTTGTGTAGTCTCAGGCGCTCAGCATCTCACCGTGTTCTTTTACAGGAGATACAAGAGGGGAACCACCCCCTTTAACACCTCATCCACAGACTGAGCTCAGACTGACTGAGCCACTGACTCATGGTGTCCAATAACTAGCATGTGGGAGTGCCAGCTTCACAGCCTGCCTTACTCATGTCACTTTCAAACCTGGACCCAGCCCTCTGCTTTCAAAGCTCTGATCTCAGATCACAAGCATTGTGGACAGAAGTTTAGGGCCCAGTACTGCCATTCCAGGGACCAGCAGAAGACAGTACAGGAATTTGGAAATAGGCTGTGCTTCTTGTTCAAATGAGAGACCCTGTCCAAAATTTTTTTTAAAAAGTGAATAGCTCCCAAGGAACAACACATGAGGCTGACCTCAGGCCTCTACACGAGCACATACTCACATGCACCTACCTGAACACATGCCCAAACAAGGATCTGTGGCCAGTTGGTTAATAATGGCTGCTTTTTCAAAAGGAGATTTTTGTGACTTCTTTTAAGGTGTGTGTGTGTGTGTGTGTGTGTGTGTGTGTGTGTGTGTGTGGTGTGTGTAGTGTGTATGTGTGTGTACATGTGGAGACTGGAAAAAAGCATGAGATCCCCTGGAGGGAGAGTTGCAGGCAGTTGAGTGCATATCCTCTGTAAGAGCAGTATGTGCTCTTAAACTCCGAGCCATCTCTCCAGCCCCAATAACAGCTCCCCAACTTCCTTCTGCTCATTCTACTTTTATCTGTGGTTGAAATACACAATATTCACTTTCTGACTTAGTCAGTCACACATGACCATTGCAAAGGTTGCCAGTTCTCTCCCTGACTTCTTTGCTGGTCTGACCATTTCCCTTCACACTTCCACCAGCTCTCCTAGACTTTGCAATCACCTCTCCCAGGTGTCTCTTTCCGGTCTGCCTTCTGCCATTCACCCCCTACCCATCAGATGTGACCATTCCAAAAGGCATCTTTGTTGGCTTCCCTCTGTTTGCAGATTTTCACCACTGAAATGATATCTCACGACTTTTAAAACAATGACAAATGAACCGAATTACAAGACTCTGAGTATTGTAACAACTGACTTGCCCATCACTGGGATGCCCAGCCTCTTCTCTCGTCATGCTCTTTCCTGCCCTTCCAGACATTGCACATTGCACTCTTTCTCACATACTCTGGGCCCCACACTTCCTCTGAGCACAGGACCTAAACACAGTTCTTTACTGGGATATCTCTTCCCTCACCAAACTTTTCACATAGTTAACTTGTTAACTTTTCACATAGTTAACATACCAACCTTGATTGACACTTCCTTCAATCAGCAACCACTCTCCAAACTAGCTTAGCTTGCCTACTACATAGTCTTGAAAGCCCACATCCTGCCCCAGAGTCGATGTTGGGGTAGATGGTATTTGATCCATTAGTGGTATATGGGACCACTAAGGGCATGACATGTAGGGTCATGTTAATAATTACTCCCCTCTATCTCCAACCCTGGCACACTCCTGAGAACTCATCAGTACCCACAGGCAGCTGCTGTTCAGTGAACGAATAATCCCATCCTCCTCCCAAGCCTTCTCCTTTTGCAGTCTCCCACATCAGTCACAAACAACTCCTTTGCTCTGGTTCTGTGGGCCCCAGTCCTGGAGTCTTCGTGCAGCATACCCCATATGCTTCACCTTCATCACATCTAGAGTTCAAACACTGCCCTTGTCACCTACTGCCCACCCTCTACACAGGGTGTCATCATTTACTGCGTGGATCACAGATGTAGCCCAATTGTCCTCTACCATTGTGTCTCAATAGAGAAGTTGAGGCAGCCCCGATTCAGCACCAATCAGACATATCTCTCTCCCTGTTTAAGCCCTCCTTGCCCTCCTGTGCCTGGTCCCTCCTCCTGTTGTGCTCCTGCTGTGATGGTTACTTTTAACTGCCAACCTGACATAATCTAGACTCTCCTCAGAAGGGAGTCTCAATGAGGAATTATCTAGATTAGCTTGGCCTGAGTCTCAATGAGGAATTATTTAGATTAGCTTGGCCTGAGATATCAGTGAGGAATTATCTAGATTAGCTTGGCCTGTTGCATGCCTGTGCAGGATTTTCTGAGTTGGGTTAATTGAGCGGGAAGACCCTGAAAGTTTGCAGGCAGCATTTCAGGGCTGAATGAGAAGGAGACAGCAAGCCATGCACTCACAGGCATGCATCAGTCCATTGCTCTCCACTCCTGACCATGGGTGTGACTAGCTCCCATTGCCTTGACATCCCTACAATGACAGGCTGTAACTAGGGGTGTACGAGAAATAAATCCTTTCTCCTTAAAGTTTCTTTCATAGTAGTATTTTATCACAGTAACCAGAAATGGAACTAAGTAAGATACCCACATTCAATCTTGGGCTGGCTATGGCATCCTCTGTGTGCCACATGTGTTTCAGGCATGTCCTGCTACAGGGCTTTTGCACCAATATCTGCATTGTCTTAGAATGTTCCTTTCCCAGGCAGCTGCTCACAGCCTCCATTCTTGTCTCAGCCACCTGGCTGGAAAACCACCCCCACTCAAGCGTTCATTCCCCTTCTCACTTTATTTGGTTGTTCTTGGAATAAGTCCCTTCCTAATGAGCCATGTGGCTAATGATTTCATTGTTTATTGACTGTATACCTGGTAGTAGGCAGGCAAGCCTCATAAGGATGAATGGAGTGTTTGCTGCTTCCTGATTCAGGGCCCAAACTCCCGATACAGAGCTGGTGCTCCACAGCTAAGCTAATCCTGCAGACCCAACAACTGAT